TGCGCGCCTGGGTGCTTCCAGCACCAGCGCACCCCCTCATTGAGACACCCTGAACCCTAAACCCTAAACCCTGAACCCTAAACCCTAAACCCTGAACCCGGAACCCTAAACCCTAAACCCTTAGCCGTGTATAGTAACCTCAAACCGGCAGGGCTCCGCCTTCACACGGAGAAGACGAACGTCTTCTACCTGCGCCCATTGGAATGTCCCAGGATTTGGGTTTAGGGTTTAGGGTTTAGGGTTTAGGGGTTAGGGTTTAGGGGTTGCGCTCCTGGATCTTTTGGGGGGGTTGTACACGGCTTGGGGTTCAGGGCCTATAGAAGTTCAATAAGCTTTTGGGGTGGACGGTCCTGTGCTTATGTAAGGCTTAGAAAAAGCTGTTTCAAACCATTCAGGCTTCTACTTTGAATTTTCGCAAGACCCTAAACCCTAAACACCCTAAACTCTAAACACACTAAAAACACTAAAAACCCTTAAAACGCTTAAAACCCTAAACACAATGGAAAAAAAAAATAACAACACTCAAAAGCCTAAAACGACTAAACAACCTAAAGGGCCTAAAACATCTGAAAAGCCTAAACCGGGTTTGGCCTATGCTTTGAAACCCTAGGCTAAGAAGTTGCATCCTTTAGGCAGCCTGCGATGATGAAAATGGCCCCTTCATCGAGGAAATTTAAGGTTTAGGGTTTAGGGTTCAGGGATTTAGGGTTTAGGGTTAAGGGTTTAAGGTCTAGTTGAATGAAGGCTTTATAGGCCTCTAAACCCTGGAGCCAGGGTATGTCCATTCTGAATCGAGTACTTGCTGATTCTTAATAAGGAATAAGGCAATATTTACAATTGGAAAAAAACAGGGATACCCAAACCCTTCAGAAACCTTCAGAACTCTAAACCCTAAATCCTAAACCTTGCTTTAATCAGGCCAGTTCGCAGAACGAGCCATGAGACTACTCCAGTACTCCAATGGGTGATGATCCTCGTCATGGCTTAAGGTAAGGGCTTCAGCGTTGCAGCGCCCAAGAGACGGGCTTAGGGTTTTTGGCACTTGAACTACTGTAATTCCTAGCTATTCCTGGCAGTCCTCACGAACATAGAGAGCTCAGTTTGGTCCAGGGATTCCTATCGACAAGAGTGGGACATGAAAGCAGAATGATTCGTGTTGCGTTTCTCTTTTCCAACCGTAAAACCTCAACAAAAGCTATATTATGGCTTCTAGTCGGGGATTGCTTCTTGGCCAGATACATGACACGGGCGTTAAAGAAGGCCCCGCTTTCTTACATATTCTTACTGGGATATACTCTCCCTAGACAAATCTCATGCTTTGTTGTGAATTCTCCCACCTCCTCGCCTTCTCCTATTTGGGGGCTGATAAATTATTACCGGTGCTCCTTTGGGAATGGATAATGGGCTATGCGGATTAGCATGGGGGGATTATGTGTTTGAATAGTGACTGCTACAGAGATCGCTTCCCCAACTGAACTTGAACACAAGCTTGCTGGGCTTGGGGGAGGCTACTCGGAGGATCACTAGGTCTTAGTAAGTATACAGTACCCTTATGAACCTTACAGTACATTATCAAAGAGCGTGTTTCACGTGGCTGCCACAAGCTCATGAGTCCTATATTGCAAAGGCTATCCCATATCGCTGTAGATCCAAATCCCGATTTGCGGTCGGCCCCCTTCACGTCACAACCCACTGCTACCATAAGTGCAGAAGGGGTACAGGAGTGTCACTACATCCCCCTGCACGAATGCAGCCTCAACCAAATCCAAACTGCACAAACAGCTTAGCTTGCTCCTGCACCTGAAACCTTTATGTAACTCTGAGCCCTATAAGCCCTAGATCCTACGCCAAAACATGTCCACACTTCGAAATCTCTGGGCGCTATGCCCTGATCCGCTACCCAAAGATCATAGCACCATGTACATAGGCAAAGTACACCCCAAAACCAGGAGAAAAGGGCATCGGTGCCATGGACAAGGCCAGGGCCCATCAGCAATTTCAAGAAAAGAGGGTCTCACATGAGTTATAACCTAAAGTCCTAGTATCCCCCTTGCAAACCTGCACCCTACTTTCCTATATAGCCCACTATATTGACAGAAAGGTACGTTGCTGGGCCCCCATTTTTGCGTAGGTATTCAAGGTGTTTTTAAATTGCAATGCGTCCTGCTAACTTCATAGCAATTAGTGCGATGAGGAGACTGGGATAAGGTATATTAACCCCTTCAAGGATTTAGGGTTTAAGGTTTATGGTTTAGGGTTTAGGGTTTGAGACTATAGCTCACATATTAACTCCCATGAAATTGCAAGCGCATTGGCAGGCCTTGAGAGTGATGCCCTGACGGCCCTGCGGTGGAACCAAGTACTCTGAGTCCACCAAGACCTGCGATTTAAGCGTCGACCACATGTGCTATAGTCTAAACTCCTTAAAAGGGGTTATAATGGGATAATATTGGGAGCATTATAGGGGTTATTAAGGGGGATACTAGGAGCTTAGACTATAGCTCACATGGCTTAAGGTTGAGTTTCAGTTTGGGGTTTGGGGTCTAGCCTAAACTGAACTTAGGCCGGAATTAGGCGCCCTCCGGGTTTCTAACCTTAGGGGGCCCCTGTACCGACCTCCAGGAATCTAGGCATTCAGGGGGTCCCCATGAAGGATTGCAGAGGGTTTAGGGTTTAGGGTTTCAGAAGCTCCTAGATGTGGCTCCTTGATGGGATGTTGCGGTCAAGGATCATACTGTCTTGTTGTCGTTTGTCTGTGTGTTTGCTTTGGTTCTCAACCATCCACCATTGGTTATAACTGAAGGCATTTCGTCAGCAGGTTGCCTAGGATCCTCGATGACCTAGGACCAAAACATGCATCTGTTTCATAAGACCCGTTTTTATAAGGAACCTATGGTGGGCGGAGATCACGGGATTAGGTCATATATAGCTTTAGAGCCTGGGCAAGGGGGTCAAGGCTCCCCAACAGCGCTATTAGTCACTATCAGTCACTATTAGTCACTATTAGTCACTATTAGTCGCTATTAGTCACCATTAGGCTTTGAACGTTTTTCCAGGTTGAAGATGCAACATCTTGTTGTTGTTCTCGCTGTCGTTGTGGTGGTTGTTGTTGTCTTTCTTGTTATTGTTATTGTTGCTGCTGGTGTTGCTGCGAGACGTTTGAACAAACTCCCGAGAGGCTGGCTCCCGAGCCTCCCGAATCTCCGAATCTCTCCCGAACCTGGGGGGTCGTGTGGCATGATTTGGTGGGGGGTTTGGGGGGGGTGAAGAGAATGGTCTGGGGGGTGGTCTGGGGGGTGGTCTGGGGGGGTTGGAGGCGCGAAACGGGAATTCTCTCAATTTGCATTGACCCCCCCCCTCTGATGTCTGACTTGTCCTATTATTTGTAGGACAAGTCAGACCTCAAGGAGGCCCGGAATTCTCTCAATTTGCCTTGACCCCCCCCCTCTGATGTCTGACTTGTCCTTTTATTTGTAGGACAAGTCAGACCTCAAGGAGGGGGGGGTCAAGGCAAATTGAGAGAATTCCCGTTTTGGCCGAATTTTTTCTCCTATGGCTTGACCCCGGTCCTCCCCGACCTTTGACTTGACCCCCCCGCCGGACCGTTAAGACCACCACCTTTAAAAGCGAGGGCTTTGTCCTTTTGAGAGGCTCGGGCCAGATCTCCCGATCCCCCAGCTCAGATTTTGGCACCTCAGGCGAACCCCAAAGTCTTGGAGATTCTACATGTCTGCAAGCTTCGTATTGCTTCAGAGCCCGGGCAGAGGTTAAAATATACTCTTCATATGACCTATCCTAAAACCTTATTGGGGAGCCTTGACCCCTTTGCCCGGGCTCTCAAGCAATATATGA